TGGTTTACTTGATACACAGAGGTGCATAGAGGCATGTGCGTAATGGTCATTTAGTGTAGAGAAAAGAGCAAAACAGACAGACAGACAGACAGACAGACAGACAGACAGACAGGCAGACAGACAGACAGACAGGCAGACAGACAGGCAGACAGAAATAAGGGATAGAAAAGAAGAAGGACCTATGATGAGTAATGCCCTCTAACCACTTGTTGGGCACATTAGGATTTATCGAACTTGTTAGCAACAGCATAAAAGGAAAGGGAAAAGAAAATTTTCAAAGGACACATTATATCCATAAAAAATATAGTGCAGCCCCTCTATAATGACCTTTGACACAACGACATCCTCTGTATAGCGACATGGTGCCAAGGTCCCTTTTTTTCTTCTTTTATATACCCTATCATAAGTACTATCAGTAATATTTTTAGTTGCCTCTCAATAACGACAACTCTCTATAATGACTTTTTTTCTGGTCCCGACGATGTCGTTATAGAGAGGCTGCACTGTACCTCAGTTTTATTCAAACACAAGCAAATTTTTCTAGCATGTGGCCCAGATTCAGGACTGAAATTAATAAATGGATAAATTGTAGTTTAAACAACACAGTTTCATTTACACCTGATAAAAATTGATTAAATTGACTATAAAAAAAATAGGATAAAACTCCTCCAAAAGGAGGGTAGGCTAAATACAATACAAAGCACCGTTTTACTTGCATCTGATTAAAATTGATCAAAGTGACCAGAATAAAAAAGGATTCAACTATCTGCAAAATGTAGGCTAAATAGAAGTATTAGAATACAAATTCAGCGATACATACTTAATAGGATTACATTGAGTTAGAAGAGAGAGGAGTAATCATTTAACTACATGAATATCATATAATGTGACGTTTGTAATCATATTAAAATTTGTTAGATATATATAGAAAGACAGAAAGATGTAAATTAACTACATGTAGCTAATAGACAGACAGGTACATTGCAGACAGACAGACAGACATACAGACAGACAGACAGATCAGACAGATCAAATGGATGGATGGATGGATGGATAGCTAGATAGATGGATAGACAGACAGACAGACAGACAGATAGATAGATAGACAGATAGGTACATAGAGATAGATGGATGGATGGATGGATGGATGGATGGATGGATGGATGGATGGGTGGATGGATAGAATGATGGAAGAATGAATGGATGGATGGATGCTAGATAGATAGATAGATAGATAGCTACATAGATAGATAGAGAGACAGGTCGGCATGTTTCCTTTGGGACCTCTAAAGAAGAAGAGGTTCTGGGACCTAAGAAAAAGATCAACTTTACCGAAGATCAACTCAAGCGGAGTCGACTGTGCAATGTGAAACAGGTCATTAAGAGTGTGGTCTATAATTCGCTGTGATTACTAGACGAGCCAGAATCACGTGAAATAAGTGAACAAACTCAGTGTAGCCTAGTGAGTGTAGGAGAATAAGGGAGCATGGGGGGTTATAAACAGACGCGAAGGTTGAACCGGCCTTCCAAGCCATGACTTAAATATAGGCTGAGCAGGGATCGACGCAACTGGTGGGTCGACGCAGTGGATGGAGCTCCGGACCTGTAAGACCCACACACATCGTTCCCTGCTCAAAACAGTGAGTATTAAAAACAACGTAGATAGACTAACGAGTAGAATCTAGGATTGGATAGCACCATCTCATTACAGAGAATCAAAACAAAAACATGCCGTAGAGTTTTTCAGTATTTCTCGCAGTGTATTTGAGATTCTTGTCTTGAATGAAAGAAATCATCAGCATCTGGAATATACCAATATAGGGCCTAAACAGCCATCACTTTCCCTGAGTTTACTCAAATGTAAATTGTTCTTCAATGCTGAAATAGAAATAAACCTAATGGTTGTAGGGCTATTTGAAGAAGTGACAAAATTTTAGTATTTCATTCAAATTTGGTCACAATTGTTAAAACTTGATCTCAGAAACGTAATGTGATCTTGTTCATATTATTAACAATTCATTTTGTATTTGTTGAATAATTATACATTAAATATGTTCCAAACTTTGTTAAAATTGGCTCAAGGATGACAGAGGTATTGCCTTTTAAATAGGTCCTTTTTTAATATCTTTGATTTAAAAAAATATTATCATCCAAATGCAATAATTATTATGTTATGTGGTAAACTGTGCTGTCATTACCACCCAATGGGACATAACTCAAAATGATTTTCATACTGCAATTCAGTCGTTTTCTCCCCTGCTGTCTAAATACATGGTTTTGTCACTGTGTAATAGGACCATTATGTTTCTACTTTCTAAATTATATACATATTATGTGAGGCAGCATGGCGAAATCGGGCACTTGTCAAAATAATAAAATTTAAAAAATTGGCGTTTTTCTGGCTGTCGGGGCAATTTTTTTCGAATTTTCTTTTTTTGGCTAAACACCTTTTATGCCCATTTTTATTTTTAAAACACCTTTTATACCCATTTTAAAACACATTTCTGCGTAGATTTTTCATTGATTAAAGGCACATAAAATGTAAATTTTCAGTTTCCAAGGACTATCAAGCAATGAAAATTACCAATCTTTGGCGCCCATTTTCTCGCTATTATTAGCACTGAAACCAGGTAACCCTCACCTCCTTCAATTGCAAATATTTTGACTTCTTCTATTCAACATAAATGGATATTATTTCACCAAAAGCAAGGCAAATGAACAGGCGTTGAGATGATACCAAAACGTCACACTTTGAAAAATTGACGGTTGCCTGATTCCACCGCATATGACACATTTTAATGATGTAAATAAATAATGGAGTTAACTTAAACAGAAGTCTATGGGACTACATGATTTTTGTTCCATTCAGTTTAGAGAGATTGTTAAACTACTGAGGCTAAAAACTCGTGGATTTTATTTTATTTCTGCTCACCCCTGCTTACATAAATATATATATTCACAGTGTTCAGTTTAGCCTGACTCCACTGTATATGTGCATGTGTATCATTATATTATACAAATTTTTCAAAGAGAAATTGAAGAAAATAAATTTTTTAAAAATATACATATATATAGGCCCTATAGGCCTAATTATGTTTGAACGGGCCTGAATAAGGAGCAGGCTCATGCCAATCACATAAGTCGCTACCCTAGATTTACAAAGATGAATCTACTCAGTACCTAGTTTTGAGGAATTTATTAATTCTGAGTTTCACAACAGGTCAAACAGCTTTGTCAAACGTAATTCTTTGACTATCTTAATAATGACTACGAATAGGGTCTAATCTTTCAATTTTGATAAAGCAGATAGAAGATTAAACGTAAGAAAGGAAGACCAAAGAGGAGATGAAGGCGAGCGGTACATGCAGAAATGGAAAAGGCGGGGACATCATGGAAACAGAAAAGGATGCACAGGACAGGCTTCAAGCTGGAGAAATGTTGTTGATGGCCTATGCTCCACCAGGAGTTAAAAGGGCAAGAGAGAGAGATAGAAGATTTGGTTTCCGATCTCACGGTCTTAGTAACTCAAAAAGGCCAAGACTCTCACATAGAACTTTGTAATTCTAAAGTAGCCAGCACTTGCTGACCAGTAGGAAGTGTGAGGACCGATCTATGTACAATCTGCTCTATTTGTCAAGTGTGAAGTGAAGGAAGATCATGACAAACAGAGCACGTAAAAAGCATCCCGGAGTTAGTGATAATGAATAAGCTGTACATTCTGAAATAAGGATTAGGGTTAATATCTTTGATCCCTTCCTGTTCCCGCAGTCTTATCCCAAAAAAGTTATGAAATTATAGAGCCCAAAAATGTGAAACTATGCGATTCTGTTAATTTTAACCAAAAAATGATAAAGGAAAATAATTAGAAATTATACAAAATATGATCAAATTTTGCTGAATTATGTGGGGTGCTTAAAACCACGAGGACAGATCCCTTCCCTCAGTCTGAGACAAGGGTTAGGGTGACATCTGTAATCAATTCCTTCAGTCTGTTAGGATAAGGTTCGTAAAACATAGCTATTATTTCTACAGTCCATTAAGCCAAGGTTAGGGTTAACATCTGTAGATCTTGTTGATAACTTTCACACTCGGGTACTTGGCAAATGTCGTCTCCTGTGGACACAGACAGACAAACAAATGGAGGATTAATACACAAACACACACACACTCACATATATATACAAAAACATGCAATAACACACGCACACACATTTAATTTGCTCACATTTCAACACCCTGCTGAGCACAAAAATGTGAGGCAGCGTAGTGAAATCCGGTGCTCGTCAAAATAAACAAATAGAAGAAAATAGCATTTTTCAACCAGTGGGGCAATTTTTTTGTCAGATTTTAGTTTTTTTAGCTCAACATAGATTATGTCCATTTAAAAACATATTTTCGTGTCGGTTTCCACGAAAAACATTGATCAACAGGCCCAAAAATGTAAATTTGCAGTTTCCAAGGTCTCTAAAGCTTTTGGCGGCCATTCTTTCAATAATTTTACCTCTGCTACTAGGCAACCCCTACCTCTTTTAACTCTTTAACCATGTCTAAACGGTGGCAGCGTCCGGAAGTCGAGTTCCGTAACCATGGCTGGATGGTATCACCGTCCGATGTGAAGTTATATTGTATTATGGTAAAAGCTGAATATAAAAAAAAGTACGAACTAACAAGCCTTTTAGTTTGAACCGGAAGTCAAAGATAAATGAATTCTACATCTGGGTAAAGCTTTATTGATCAGTTTGACACCAAACAAATGCTTTTAAAGACGTTATATGAATATGCCGGGTCGCATTTCCACAAACACGAGAGAATTATGCGGAAACGTGATTTTAAATTGCATGGTTAAAGAGCTACACCCAAATAACTGGAATTGTGTTTAGGATAGATGAGTAATTCTTTCACCATGTGCAAGGCAAATCAAAAGGCAATAAGATTATACCAATAACTTCATAAGCCCAAAAATTGACGAGTCCCTGATTCCACCGGGTCATGTTATAGTAATAGTAATGGATGTCTTACAGACTTAAAAGTTGTATAAATAGTAACAGATGTCTTACAGACCTAAAAGTTGCAGTAATAGTAATGGATGTCTTACAGACCTGAAAGTTGTAGTAATAGTAACAGATGTCTTACAGACCTAAAAGTTGCAGTAATAGTAACAGATGTCTGACAGACCTAAAAGTTGTAGTAATAGTAACAGATGTC